CCCCCCCCCCCACATTCTCCTGCTAAGTACTACAAGGTGGTGAGGCCAAGTTTTCCGAAGGCCTGCATGAGAGCAAGCACAGCGGTAAGACTTACAGAGTCAGACCTGGGTTCAAACCCTGACTCTGTCACTTACTACCTGAGTAAATGAACGTCCCCGAATCTCAGGTTCCTTACATATAAAATAGGGAATGATAATACCTGCACCTACCAGGACTGTACTGAAGTTAGAGGGAACTGCAACCTTTTTGAGTCTTAATTTCTTCATCCATGCAATAAAGTTTAAGTTACGCTTTTTCATATCGGCTTGGGACCTCATTGAAGTGCTGCATCTTGTTTTCTAGTAAGAATCCTTCTCTTTTCCTTCCAGCCATTGTGACCTTATGACCACAGCTGTCTCTGGGTGAACAGACACAGCCGTCCAGAGGGAAAGAAACTTCATCAGGCCGGGCCTGTTGGGCTGGGGTGGAATAACTATGAATGAAGAAATGTCAAGGACCTTCTCTCTCTCCTGAGAAATGCTTTGGGCCAAGCTGGACCTGTTTGATTTCTAGGCCAGAAGCATAAATGGAATCCTGCACCATATGCATCTGTCTCCCCACCTTTCGCTGCAGTAATCTAGGTGGGGATTCATAGGCTCACTCTAAGAGGACAGACACAAGGATGCCGAGTCCTTTGTGTCATAGGATTTGAAAGGATGGATCTCTAACAAGTCTAATTTAATGTTGGCTCAAGTTAAAGCATGGTGAATTCCAGCCCAGAAAGAATAAACTGAGATGCCACAGAATGACAGAGATAATTTAATTTGGCTCCCTTGCTCAACAGATAAGAAACCCGAGCTTCATGGGGCAGAGGGTGGGGGCTGACATGTCCATAGCTATGTACCAAACTGAGGCAAGAGCCGGGGCTGCCTGTTTCCTGGGCCAGTGCTCTGGGCTGTCATTCATTTCTGCACCACTGTCAGGATTTTTTTTCATATTTACACACCATCTGTGCCTTTATTAACATGGTTCCTTCACTACTTGAGTTGACCATTTTTTATTCCTAAATAAATTTATTTTGAAAGGAAACTGCTGTAAAGAGAAAGCAAGGATCGTTTGCCACAAATATAAGGCAACTATAAAAATAAATGCTATGAAACAAAGCAATACAGTTAAATTTTAGCAAGGTACTGCTGTAGGTGAAGAGATCACTCATTCTCCCCATTAGAAGGGAGATTCATAATGTTAAAGAACTTAAAAAGAATAGCTTTTTTTTTTTAAGATTTTTTATTGGGGAATTGGGGGATAGGAACAGACAAGTTGCTGTCCTTTTGTTCTTCAGTCTAGTTGTGGAGGACGTTGCTTCACTGGCCCAAGTTGGCACCATCATTGCGCTCTTCCCGGGCGAGGCAGATCAGTTGCCGGCTTCTGGACGGCCGCTCACTGTGGCTGCTGGCCGCTCACACTGGCTGCTGGCTACACACGGTAGCCCATGGCAACCCACCTGCCGGCACCGGCGACTCATGGCAGCCCAGCTCCAGGTTGAGCTGTTGTTCAGCATCTTAGCTGTGGAGGGCAGTGTCACTGGCCCTCATATGTGGGATCTGAACCGGGGCCCTCTGGTGTCCCAAGCCAGTTCTTAACCATCGCGCCACTCGGCCGGCCCAAAGAATAACTTTCTTATCATAGGAGATGCTTTTTTTTTTGCTACTGAATTTTCAGTCCAGTGGATTGATTGATTGATTTAAAGATTTTATTGGGGAATTGGGGGAGAGGAACAGCGTTGGGGAATCGGGGAAGGGGAACAGACAAGTTGCTGTCCTTTTGTTCTTCAGTCTAGTTGTGGAAGACATCGCTTCACTGGCCCATGTTGGTATTATCATTCTGCTCTTCCCAGGTGAGACAGTCACTTGCCAGCCATTGGATGGCCGCTCACAGCGGCTCACGGCAGCCCATGAAAGCTCATGCCAGCTGCCAGCCATCCCCACAGCAGCCTATGCCATCGCCGGCCACTCACAGCAGCCCAGCTCCAAGTCGAGCTATTGTTCACATCTTAGCTGTAGAGAGAGCAGTGTCACTGGCCCGCATGTGGGATCCAACCCGGGGCCCTGCTGCTCAGAGCTGGCATCCCAAGCCAACCCTTAACCAACGCACCACTCGGCTGGCCCAGGAGATGCTTTTTAATGTGTTTGGGGACCACCTAAAATTGTCTCTCATATCATGCTAAGTTGATCAGGAAAGGGAAATAGGTGTGAAAGTTGTAAACGACATCTAATACTTTACACTACCTGGGTTAGAACCCCAACGGTGCCACTTATAGGCTACAAGACTTTGAGCAAGTGACAACCTTTTTCTACCTCAGTCTCCCCACTCATAAAATGGGAATAATAGTGGGTATACCCTGGGATTGTTTCAAGTATTAAATTAGATAGAACATATGCAATCCTTAGAACAATACTGAGAATGGAGCAAGCACACAATAGCATCAGGTATTATTGTAATTAGCATTATTAAACCTTAAATGATCTTATACTCTGTAAGAGGATTGTTATCCTTATTTGGAAGGGATCAGATAGTAAATATTTTAACCTTTGTTGTCTGTATTGTCTGTGTTGCAACTACTTCACTCTGTCATGTGGTGAGAAAATGGCCACAGGCAGTACATAAACAGGTATGGCCACGTGCCAATAAAACTCCACTTATAAAAATAGGTGGCAGGCTGGATTTTGCCTGCAGGCTGCAGTCTGTGCTAGAGAATTACAGGTATGGAACACAAAAACAGTCCAAATGCTTTGTAGACTATTTTGAATAAAATACCTACCTGTATGAGATGGCATCATATCTCCTACCTTAGCACAAATCCCAAACTTTTGAAGTCAATCTCAGACACCTGAAATGTAGATTCTATTCTTACTGCCTGCCATCATCTTAACTGGTCCCCAAATGGCCATGGGACTGAACAGGTCCTGAACTTGAGGTAGAATCAGGGTTAAAAGCATGGGGAGTCAGAATCTTGTGTTTGCCACTCACCCTGCAAGGGGTATCATTTTCTTTTTACACACGAGAAAATTGCAGCTCAGCAGGGTAGAGTAATTGCCCAATGTCACATAGCCAGCAAACTGACATCAGTTCCACGCACATGAAATTTGGTTCTAATCCAGAAACCCTAGGGCCAGCTGCATGTCATCCTGATGCTTCCTTTTCCTGTTTCTAGTCTCCGTGATAAAGGAGGGGAGAGCTTAAGAGGGAACAATTTAGAGTTGAAAACGATACTGATGGTTTAGGGCACAATTGGGACCCAAGGAGGAGGGAGAATAGAGTCCTGAGATCAGAAGATAGAGTGGCACGTGCACAGGGCCTGACCTGCTCTGTTTCACCTGTGAAGCCGAGCTGTGCACCTGGGCAGATCTTCTCACCTTTCTGCACCTCACTTTCCCCAAATGTACGAAGAAGCAGAAGCCTTTATCGATTTCACACAGAGGGCCCAGTGCTTTCCAATACTTTTTTCTCATTTTCTCTTCACAACAACCCTGAGATTGCTATCCCCATTGCGCAAATGAGCAAGACAGGGCTCTGCAAGGGCCTTCCGATTGCCCAGGGTCACAGCGTTGGCAGGTAGGCTGTCTAGCTACAAGTCCAGGTGTGTGTCTTCAGTGCAAAATATTCCTCACAGGACTCTCCATCCCCCCCAAGCTGAACACACAAATGAGAAGGCGGTACATGGATGCTCTGCAGTGCTGGAATCAGAGCTAACTCGTTCTGCACTCTTACCATGTGCCTGGCGCTGTGTGAGGCCAGTCCCTCCAGACCCTCTCAGCTGGAGGCTAACAGTATCCTCTTTCTGCAGATTTGGAAACTGAGGCTCAGAGGTCTTGAGTAACTTGTCCAACGTCACTCAGCTATCAAGAAGCAGGACTGAGGTCTGAATCCAGGTGAAATTCGCTCCAAAGCCCATGCTTGTAAGAGGATGACTATAGTCTATCGTCCAAGGACACTTTGGAGAGTGAAAGGCACTCTTATTAATTATGCCAGGAGAGCAGGCAGAAACAGGGACATGTGGTCGTCCCAGCTCTTGACCACTGGGTTCTATTCAGCCCTCAGGACCACCGTGAATCATGAGGACATGAAGAGGAAATCTATAGCTGGCAGCAACACCATTTTTATTATTACAATTAACACTTCTATTGATCTTAGGATTTTCGGAACGAGGTAAAGTCCGGTGGAAATGAGGCATTTGGGATTTTGTGCTTGAGAGTTTTAGGAAGGGGTGAATTTAATTGCCTCTGGAGTTGCTACAAGAAGTAGTCGGAGTAGCCAGCATGCTCTCCCAACAATTCCCCACTTTCCTTCACCCTCTGACTACAGGCACTGGGTGGAAAGGAGAGATGGATTAAAAGAGTGCTCCAAGGAAATGGAGATAAGTAACTTTAGGTTTGGCATGATAAGTAGACCAAGGAATGTCTTAGATCCAGAAAAGACACCAGACCATCATCAGTCTATTGCTTGAAACCACATATGCCTCTAACTCAAGGCTAGTATCAGCTGGGGGCAATGCTGAGAGCTATCTCAACTAGACACTTGGAGGCATGCTGGGGAGAATATTCTCCATCAGAATTCCCAGAATTCTACCATAAGGGCCTCATCCGTCTGGGTAAGGGTTTCACTCCTCTAGGAGACCAGTTTTAAGACTAAACAACCATAGCGCCTTTTGAGTTCCTCACTAGTAGTAAACATGCTGGAGCCTATTCCATCTCAGATTTACTTTTGGCTGGGATGTAGCAAAGCTTAGGTTGTGACAGAGAAATGGGCAGAGGAGAAGCTTTAGGACATGGGTTTTTGCCCAAGGAGGTTACCATAGTGTGGGGTCCTGCGCAGCCAGGAGGCTGCAAAATAGGCTTTGGGACCTAAGTGGCACCCAGCAGAGCAAGAGTGAGGGAGGTGGGGAGAGAAGATGGCACCAGGAGGGTAAAGTCCACCACTGCAGCCTTGACCATGTCAAACTCCAGGGCAACAACCCTGCAGAGACTGGCAAGGTCACGGGGATCAAAGTAGCCCGAGGCAGAGAGGCCGGGGAGCCAGGACCCTGGGGGGCCGGGGTAGCTCTGCTAATGCGTGACTCCAATCGCCCGTGACGCCTCATGGACCAAGCATGAAGCTGCAAGTGAAATAATCTCTGAGGTCTTTTTCAGCTCCAATGACAAATGAGATTCCAGACGGTGTCACTAAGTGAATCTTGCTGCGCATAAGTGGGTAGCTGAGAGCTGAGAGGAGAGGCTCTTGATTGGAGAGCGGGCGCAACCCAAGCCACCCAGCTCGCCCTTCCGGATTAGCCCTTCTCCTTGCCTTAATTCTCTTGATGACCAAGTGAACTTTTAACCTCTCCTTGTCCCATCTCTTCTTTTCAATCTATAGAGAAGGGGCGGGGAAGAAGGGCCGGCAGAGGGGAGGGTGGCAGGGCAAAGGCTTCTGGTAGGCCCCACCTCCAGGGGGATCTTGGGGGGATCAGGAAATGGCTATACGAAACCAAGTCAAGATTCCTGGCTGCCAACGGCAGCAAAGATAAAGGCTTATTTGGAGATGGCCCGAGGACTGACCACAAAGTCTAAAGGAGCACGTGGGCATGTCAGCTAAGACATATATTAATAGCTTCTCAGGGCTTTGTTTTTTTTTTCATCTTTCATGAGAAGTCAGGGGTGGACTAATATTTAACGGACAGCTACTCTGACAAGAACTGGCTGGGTGCTTTATGCGTTATCTCATTTAATCATCACAATACCCCTTCAAGGAAAATATTATCTTCATTGTACAGAGATGAAACAGCAGCTTAGAGAAGATAAATCACTTGCTCAAGTTTGTACAGCTCAGATGTAGCAAAGCTGGGATATGCACCAGGTCTGCCTGACCCTAAGACCCAAGGCTGGCGCTACCATTTTACAATAGAGCCAGATTTCACGGTCCCTCTGGCTCACTCTAGCTCTGGTTTGGGGAGATGGACTGGGCCCAAATCTCATTTATTAGCCTGTCATTTGAGGCAAGTTATTGAATCTCTCTGAGCCTTTGTTTCCTCATCTATATAATGGAGGATTAGAATAGCCCTTATGTTATAAGGATTAAGAGGATTAAATGAAATTAAGTATGGAATGGGTTTATGGGCCCATAGCAAGGACTCCATATTTTGGCCATTATCGTAATTAATATTATTCTTAAATCGTATGCAAACCACATGCCAACAAACCTGTGGCTCCCCTGAGCTCCACAGCTGTTTGGGGGTCTTCTGGTAAAATCCCTGCTGGTTTCAAGTACCAGTTATGAATGCTAAGTAGTCCTTCTCATCATCAGAAAAACCAACTTGACTTTTGGAGGTTCACAAGGAGCTCTCATAATATTTTACCTTCCGATCAGCAAATCGAATCCATGCGGTAGGGAACGAAGATGTGGTGACCACTTTCTACAGGTTAGATGAGTCACACAGCTAGAGGTTTGGTTTTGTTTTGCTTAATTCCCATGCCCAGAGCTTTGGTTATAGAGAATGAAAATGGTTCTCTTGGAGAATTTAGGTGTATGTATGTATGTGTGTGTGTGTGTGTGTGTGTGTGTGTCTGTATAGGCTGTATATACACACACACACGTGGATAGGCAGATGGCCATATTAATGACCAAAAAGTAAAGCGTGGGCCCAGGAATATCCCAGATTCAGGAAGGGATGTATTCAAGCCAGGCTCCTCAACTATCTCCTCTGGAATTCTTGGAAATTTGGTTTCTGGACTTAAACTTGGAGTGACTACCCCACTCAATCTAATTCCGACCAGGGCTGTGTCCAACTGGACGAGGCCAAGTTTACTCCTTTCCCCCAGTCTTTCCCCAGGAGCTGGTGTCCACCAAACCCTGTTGGAGACTTGCTGAAATGCTTTTACTAACCTCATGGATTCTCTTCCAAAAGCTTTCTGGATATGTGCTGCGGCTGGTTTCCAAGAGCAGCTCCAGGAGCAGGTTGGCTTTGCGCTGGGCACGAGGCTTTAAGAGGCGATAATCACATCTCCACGTCCCAACGGGGCCTGCCTGGCCACCCGGCTGCCCGCCTGTTGATTCCCACCGACGGCTCTACGAAAGGATGAGCAACTGCGAGTCTTCCCGTCCATTCTGCGACGCAACCGCGCCCTCTCGTGGCCATCAGTAGAACTACAGGTACTATTGTCTCCAAGTTTCTGGGTTTTCTTCACTCTTTCCCTTTATATTTATTGAGGCCTCCTGTGTGCAAGCCAAGGCTCTAGACACTGTGGACATTTCAGGGAACAAAACAAAGCCCTTTCACTCATAAGGTTTACATTTTTAGTATGTGTGACGGAGGACAGAAAATACACATCCATGTAGGTGTACATATAGGTCTATGGTTCAGAAGAACTATGGAAAAATAAAGCAGGAAAGAGGGATAGGGATGAGAGGAGGGCAACACTTTTCAACAAGATGGTCAGAAAAGCTCCCTGATAAGGTGACAGCTGAGAGGGACATGAGAGAAATGGGGAGGAGTATCCAGGTAGATGAACCAGCAGGGATTATAGGCCTCGAAGGGAGAGGGTGCCTGGCTGTTTGAGGAACAACAAGGAGGCCAGCTTGACTGGAACAGACCAAGCGAGGGAAGTACAGCAAGAGAGGCTGTCTGAGAGGCTGTGGGGCCAGAGCACAGAAGGCATGGGCCTTGAAGTGTGTTCCCAGCTTCACGGCATCAAGTCACCAGGGAGCTTGTTAGAAATGCAAACTGTTGGGCCCATCCCTAGACCTACTGAGTCAGAAACTCTGGGAGTGGGTTCCCACAGTCTGTGTTTTAACAAGCCCTCCCGGTGAGTCTGCTGCTGCAGTCTGGGAACTACTGATGCGAGGCTGCAGAGGCCATTGTGGGGCCTTTGACTTTTATTCTGAAATGAGAAGCCATTGGAAGCTTTGGGGCAGAAGAGGGATATGAGCTGACTTGTGCTCTGGTCCTATCCCCAGAGATTCCGATTTAATTTGTCTGACACATGGGCTGGGCACTGTAATTTCTAAAACTCTCCAGGAGCTCAGTTGGGAGGCTACTGCTGTAAAACAGGTGAGGAATGATGGTGGCTTAGACCCGAGTGGCAGCCGTGGAGGTGTGAGACGTGGTCAGGTTCTGGATAGATTTTGAAGGTAGAACTATGAAGATTTTCTGATGGATGTAATGCAGGGTGCAGGAGAAATGGAAAAGTCAGGATGCCTCCCAGGTTTTTACCCTGAACAAGTGGAAGGAGGCAGTTTCCATTTGCTACAATAGGGAAGACGGTGGGAGGAATGTATTCCTTGGGGAGGTGAATCAAGAGTTTGATTTTGAACATGTTGAGTTTGAGATGTCTATTTGAGATCCAAATGGAGATGCTGACTAGGTTCAGGGGAGATGTCTGGGCTGGACATCGAAGTTTGTGAGTTGTCAGTGATGGATGGTGTTTAAAGCCATATGGCTGGATGAGACCACTTAGGGAGGAAGTATAGATTAAAAAGGAAGTATAGATTATAGGGGCACTCCAATGTAGGAAGGAAACAGGAAGAGAGCCAAGTGTCAGTTAGGCCCCCAAACCCCGGTGAAAAAGTATTTCAAGAAGGAGGAAACAGTGACAAGCTGCTGCGTGGCCAGCTAAGAGGAGGACTAGAAATTGACTGCTGGGTGTAGCAGCATCGAGGCCACAGAAGAGCAGAATGACTGAGAACAATGTCAGTGGAGGGACTGGAAGAGGGACAAGGGCCTGTTTATAGAACAGGAGGAGAGAAATTGGAGACACAGAGGACAAACAATTCTTTTGAAAAATTTTGCTGTAAAGGGAGCGTGATGGAGGAGAACAGGATCAACAAAGGTCTTGTTTTCTTTTTTTTAATATGAGAGAAATAACAACATATTTCTATCTTTGTTGGGAAAGATCTTCCAGCACAGGGAAAAATCAGTAGATATTTTAATAACAACAAACACTTATTAAACACATTTTTATGCTCCCAGCACTGTGCTTAATGTTGCCCATGAATTATTTTCCACAAATATCAAAAGTTTCTATTATTTATTATTCCCAATTTATAGACAAAGGAGCCCGAGTGAGCTCTGAGAAATGAACTAATGTTCACAAAGACTCACAGCCAGTAAGATGGGACAACTGAGGTTCCACCCAGGAATCGGCTCCAGAGCTAAAGCCCTTGACTCATGCTCTGCAAAGCCTAGCCATCAAGCTTCCTGCATGTGGGGCACCCTTTTAAACCCTTGAACTTTTGGTGCTCAGCTAGAAGGGATGAAATGGCTCCCTACCCCTTCCTCACAGAGCTCCCCTCTGCACCAGGCTTGATGACCTCTCTTGCTCAGGGTAAGCACTGCTATAGCAACAGTCCATCCTTGGTAGAAGCAAAAGAAATAACATCTGTACTGGGTCCAATGGTGTCCCCCCAAACTTCATGTCTACCTGGAATTTCAGAATATGATCTTATTTGGAAATGCTTCTTTGCAGGTGTAAGCGCAGTTACAAATGAGTCATACCGGATTAGGGTGGGCCCTACTTCAATGACTGTTGTTTTGGAAGAAGAGAAAACAGAGACACAGGGAGACCCTTGGGGAGAATGTCATGTGACCATGAAGTCAGAGATTGTAGTGATGCAGATACAAGACCACGGATGCCAAGGATGCTGGCAATACCAGAAGCATGGAAGAGGCGAGGAAGGATGCTTCTACAGAGCTTTCAGAGACAGCATGGCCCTGATGACAAACTTGATTTCAGACTTACAGCTTCCAGATCTGAAAGAATAAATTCCTATTGTCTTAAAGCACCACATTGTGGTAATTTATTATGGCAGCCCAAGGAAACTAACAGTACCCACTGGTCAGAACTTGGCAGTACACCTGTGAAGGATGCTGTGGTACCCTCACGTGCCATGCACATCAATTAGTGCTGCACTATTTTGAGGTCACTGCTATGTAAGAACACATTAAGGAGCGGCATAGTATGATACATCTGGGAGGGCCCATAGAGATAATGTAGTTCAGCCAGCTTATTTTAAAGACATGGGAGGTAAAGTGCAAGAAGGGCAAGAGGCTTGTCCACGGTCACATGGCTATTTAATTGCAGGTGCCATATCTGTGTGACCCACATTGCATTCTCCGGAGCCTGGAACCCTGCCTCGTACCTAAGCAGGTGCTCAATAAACATTTGTTGAATGAATGAATGAATGAATGAATAAAACCCAAGTGCCTGATCTCCAGCTCAGGATCTTTTTCAAATTATGTTCTCCTGGCTTGGTAAGATTAAAACCAACGCTACTTTGTTTACATTGGCAATTCCTTTTCTCCAACTACTCAGACTGAAAGCTATCAGCTATGGATTAATTGTTGTTATTGAAAATGTCAAGGCTTCTTGGAGATCTAGCCAGAGAAAATTTCTAATATTGAAGCATAATGCTTTGTAGGTTTTCCTTTACCACCTAAAAAGGACTTTCCTGTTCCATTGCACAGTCCTCTTAAATAAATGGCTGAGTATCCTAAAATCAGTGCTACCCAAAATTTACTACTATTATACCACCCCATAGACTCTAGTTATATTTAGCCCCAGGCCTTGGAGATAAATTCTTGACTGTTCATTCGCAAGGATAAAGGCAATATGACTAATAGCCACCATTTATCAGGTAACTATGGAGTTATCAGCTTTTGTTAAGCACTTTGCTACGTTATAGCCTTTCTTCACAATAAAGATTAATGATACCTTTCAAGGTGTTGATTGTACGCATGTTGTCCAATAAAGCAGACACTAGCCTTGGCAGGAGCTGTTTACGAAGGTCTGACGTTAGCAGTTAGCAGGCTTGGTGAACATATAGGAGGATGCTATTCTCAGTTTTAAAACTTCTAAGAACTTATCTTCCAGATAAAGTCCTTCAAGTGTGCAAAGACATATGCCCAGAGGTATTTGTTACAGAAATGTGTGTAAGAGCAAAAGAAAAGAAACATCTAAAATGCCCATCAACAGGGGTGGTTAAAAGGTGCATCCCATAAATAGAATGCCAGAAAGTCACTCAAAAGAATGAAGCAGATCTATAGTTATTCCTATGGGAAAATGTCCAAGATATAGGATCTGAACAATACAATCCCATTTGTATAAAATAAATACAATGATAGAACATGAATATACAAAGGAAGGTGGGAAAGAAGGATGGTATAATCTTACTTGTGTAAAATAAAGACAATTATGTAGAATATATAGAGAAAGAAATGGAGGGAGGGAGTGAAAACATTTCTAGAAGAATGTATAGGGCCGGCCCAGTAGCGCGATGGTTAAGAACTGGCTTGGGACACCAGAGGGCCCTGGTTCGGATCCCACATATGAGGGCCAGTGACACTGCCCTCTACAGCTAAGATGCTGAACAACAGCTCAACCTGGAGCTGGGTTGCCATGAGTTGCCGGCGATGGCGTAGGCTGCAGCCCCTGTGGCAGCGGGTTGCCATGGGCTACTGTGTGTAGCCAGCTGCCAGCATGAGCAGCCAGCAGCTGCAGTGAGCGGCTGTCCAGAAACCAGCGACTGATCTGCCTCGCTCGGGAAGAGCGCAATGATGGTGCCAACTTGGGCCAGTGAAGCAACGTCCTCCACAACTAGACTGAAGAACAAAACGACAGCAATTTGTCTGTTCCCCTTCCCCCAATTCCCCAGCGCTGTTCCCATCCCCCAATTCCCCAATAAAAATCTTTTAAAAAAAGAATGTATAAAGTACTGCCAATATATGGGAGTATAACTAGGAAGCAAGGAATAGGAAGCAAAGAAATTATATTTTTTTAAACCTAAAAATCTTCTATACTGTTCATATTTTTAAACAATGTACATGTATTAAGCTTATCATTGAAAACCCAGTTATTTAAAAATAAGAAAAGTAGAGGGTATGTGACTTGTTATTAACACCCTTGGGGCCTGCAAAGAGACCACAAAGAAACCATTCAAGCTTACTTCTGCACTGATGCTCAGAAATTAAGAAAATGTTGGTGCTTGGTAGAATTTATCCTGACCCATGCAAGCTCAGGTTAATAATATGCTCAGAATAGATAGACAGATAGGCCAGGGATAGCAGCACTGAACACATTTAAAACAGTTTGGCCAAGCTGTTCGAGGAAAGATATTCCAGAACACAAATGTTGGCCAGATGGATGGTACAAGATGCTTCACAAAATGTTACTAAGTCTCAAAAGGATACAGAAAAATATAGTATGCAGCATGAGATCTTTATTAATAAAGGGCCTCTTTTTTCCTGAAGGAAACATTAATTTCCAAATTCTTGCTCCTGCTTTAATGGAGCTAATATGTGATCCATCAGAAATTAAGCTATAAAATTATAGCGTGATCTTAATAGTTACTGATTGCTTTCTCTGTGCCAGGCGTTTTAGCTTTCACAACCACCTGATGAGTAGTGTTTTCACAGAAAGGTAAACTGATGTTCAGGGAAGTTAAGTAACCTGTCCAAGGTCCCTCGGTGAGTAGGTGCCTCTCAGTACTCCAGAGAGGGGAGGGCCCTCAGGCACCATCTTATTCTGGAGGAGAGGAAACTGGTCCATGGGGGGAAGATGCTTGCCTAGGCCAGAGTCCAGGCAGGCCTGGAACTCTGTGTATGTTCATCCACCCTAACACACTTCTTTTTAGACCGTGAGTATATAGCAAGTGTTTCAGACAAAGCTGAACTGAATTCAAATGAACTGTTACGTGGACAATTTTGTAATAGGCCTCCAATAATGAGGTTCCTTCTTGAAACCCGCACTTCTCAAACCTGGATATCCACTTCTCGATTTTTGTACTATCCCTGTGCCTGAGCACTACCTGTCGTCAATTCCCTAATTTGTGGAAGGTGGATTACTGTGGTACTGCTTATTTTAACTTCATCTAAACCAAAACTATGTGTGAAAGCACAGGTTTAGCGGTTACCTAATTTTCTTCTAACACGTATTTTGATGTGTAATGCTGATCATGTTACCCCCCTCATGAAAAGCAGCATTTAATTTGTTTTTATTATTATTTTTAAATTTTTTTAAATTGGGGAATTGGGGGGATGGAAACAGCGCTGGGAAATTGGGGGAAGGGGAACAGACAAGTTGCTGTCCTTTTGTTCTTCAGTCTAGTTGTGGAGGACGTTGCTTCACTGGCCCAAGTTGGCACCATCATTGCGCTCTTCCCGGGCGAGGCAGATCAGTCGCCGGCTTCTGGACGGCTGCTCACTGCGGCTGCTGGCCGCTCACGCTGGCTGCTGGCTACACACAGTAGCCCATGGCAACCCATCTGCTGTTGCCCAGCGACTCAGGGCAGCCCAGCTCCAGGTTGAGCTGTTGTTCAGCATCTTAGCTGTGGAGGGCAGTGTCACTGGCCCTCATATGTGGGATCCGAACCGGGGCCCTCTGGTGTCCCAAGCCAGCTCTTAACCATGGTGCCACTCAGCTGGCCCGTATTTAATTTGTTTTTAGAATGAAGACTCAAATTCCTAGCCTGGACCTACGGGAGGAGAGGTCTGCTATGTGGCCCCAGTGGCTCTGCAGCGTCACCAGAATCCACGCTGATTTTCTGTCATTTACTCAAATGCACCTCGGCTCTCACACCTCTGCACATGCTTTTTCATCTGCTTGGAACAACATTCTTTCCCTGAGCGGCTCCTTCGTAGGAACCAGCTTAAAGGCCATCTCTTTGGGGAAGTCTTCCCTCAGCCCCAAGGTAGGCCTTTGAGGGTCTTGTCATACTTGTGCTTACTTGGTCACTGCAATCTTCCTCCACACATTGCGGGTTCCCAAAGGGCAGGGGCAGCATTTTTCTTGTTTATCACTCTGGGTCTAGTCCTCAGCAGCCAGCCTGCAGGTGCCAGGTGCCTTTCTCGCTGATTAAATGAGAGAAGAGAGAAAAACCTATGCAATACACATACGAGATCTCAGAGAGCATAACAGCTCTACACATCTGTGATTTCAGAATTTATCATTATTTTATAACCAAATATAATAATGTGAGGTTATACTAATGTCCCCAAGTTATTGACAAAAGACTCTGTTCAGTGTGCTGCCAGAGAAAGTGGCACTGAAATTCATTTGAAAACTATTTCCATTAAAATGGTCAAGTTGAAAAAACATCTTACAACGGGAACATTAACTATACGAAAAAAACAAAACACTTAGCAAAATTCCTACTGATGCCAGATAAAGTGTTACTCTACTTTGAATTAATGTAAGCTGTATTTATGAATTTTTATATTACAAATGGGTACATTTCATTTTTCCTCATCTTACTCAGTCCCCAGGAGGTTCATGGGTAATAAAACAAATGAATTTCTTTCTCCATTATTCTGTCATTGTTCCTTTCAAATGGCTCCTTGCCCATACACTCCAATATTTTTCTCATAATAAGTAGTAAAGCCTTCAGCCTTCTCATTTATCTTAACTACCTCCTTTGTATTCCAAGAGACAAGTAGTGTATTAACTTCCATCTACATCAGGGAAGGAGGTAAATTGAGGCAAAGATGTTAAATGATTTCTTTAAGTTATACAGTTAATCAGTATTCACACATCCATCTGTATGAATGACGCAACAAATATTTAGTGATTGCCCACTTGGTGCCGAGCTCTGTTTTTGCTGCTGGGAGTATAACAGGAAATAAGTTAGATAAGGCCCCTGTTTTCATGTAGCTGGTGTTCTATGTGGGAAAACTAGATAATAAACAAGTAAACAAATAAAAAAAATTAATATCAAATAGTGCTATAGACTGAATGTTTCTGTCCCCCAAAATTCGTATGTCGAAACTTAATCCCCAATGTGATGGCATTAGGAGTGGGCCTTTGGGAGGTGATTAGGTCATCAGGGGTGGAGCCCTCATGAATGGGGTTACTGCACTTATACAAGAGAGAGCGCTCCCCGTTTTCCGGTACACGAGGACACAGTGAGAATGAGAAGTGGGTTCTCACCAGACACCAAATCTGCTGGCACTTTGATCTTGGACTTCCCAGTCTCCAGAACTGTGAGAAATAAATCTCTGTTGTTTAATCTACCCAGTCTATGGTATTCTGTTATAGCAACCCAAATGGATTACAACAAATAGTGACAAACAGTATGATAAAAATAAAAAAGTATTATTATTAGAGAGTTATTTGACCCTGACTCTAACCCCAAACCTGGGAGCACCTACTGTTGTGTAGTTAGGGAAGCCTCTCTGAAATGTTGACAAATGAGCTGAGATCTGGAGGACAAGAAGCAGCCAGTGAAGGGAATTTTTGGGGCAGGGAGTGGGGAGATCATGCAAGGTAAAGGGAACAACAAAACCAAAGGTTTTGAGGTGTGAGCAAGCTTGGTGTGTTCAAGGAACAGGTCAGGGTGGCTGGATGTTATGAGGTGGGTGATGAGCTCACACACAGGAGGGACCAGCTCATACAGGGTCTTGTAAGCCATGGTAAGGAGTGTGGATTTTCTTCTAGAATTTTCTTCTAGTGATGGGAAGCACTGTAGAATACAAGCAGAGGATAACATGGTGTAATTTATGCTTTTGAAAGTTCATTCTGGTTGCAGTGTGAATGGATGACCAGGGGACAAGAGTGGATGCAAGGAGCCCAGGGCAGGGGCGGGCGGGGGGCATCAAACAGTACAGGTAAGAGATGAGGCCATCTTGGACTAGGATGGTATCAATGGAAGTAGATGGATTAGACATATGTTTTCTGAAATGAGACACCAGGACTTGTCGACCTGGTGGACAGTGAGGCAAATGAATCAAGGATGATGCAAGTTTTTGGCTTGAGCAAATGAAGGTGGTGCCATGTATTGAGAAAAGACGTGGTGGTAGACATTGATGTATCATTTTGTGATCAGGGCAGAAAATCAAAACTTCTGGACATATTAATTTTGAGATGCTTTTTAGAGATGCCTGGCCAAGGAGAGATGCCAAGCCGGGAGGTGTTGGATCTATAAGAAAGAGAGCATTATAGCTGGAAATGTCCATTTGGGAGTCACCAGTGTGAAAGTGGGTAATGTCACTAAAGAAAAGGGTGCTGGTAGAGAAGAGGCAGCCAATCCCTTATTCCTAAGCCCCACACTGACCACTGGTCATGGTCATATACCACAGCACAACAATTTCACTCCTCCCATTTCATTAAATTAAACAAACATCCCCTGTCTCTTCTATATGGTGTTACTGTAAAGAATAAGGGGTTACACAGATAGGTGATTAATATTGGGTTGTAGGAAAAGTCATGACGCATGTTTTAGACAGATGGCACTAGTTCAGTTTTGGAAGTACTAGAGTCATTCGCATCTATGTTATTGCTATGTCATTTGACAGCTGACAGTTCCAGCTTCATTCTAAAAAAAATTGAGTGATTTGGTTGAGTTTTGGAGATTTTACAAGTTGACGATGGAAGACCAAACTGTGCATTTTTGCCATATTTTACTGTTTTACTTCCATGAAGGGAAGAACGCATGTCAAGCATGTGAAAAGTTGCATAAAGTTTACGGTGACAATCCTCTACAGGAACATCAGTGCCAACGATGGTTCACGAAATTCCGTGCTGGTGATTTTGATCTCAACCATGCTCCTCTGTCAGGGAGGCCCATTGAGGTTGATGACGACAAAATAAAGGCATTGATTGAGTCAAACGCACGTTACATGACACAAGATTACAGAAACATTGAACATCCATCATTCAAGCGTTCATGATCACCTGAAGAAGCTGGGATATGTAAGCAAGCTTGATATTTGGGTTTCGCATGAACTCAAAAGAAGTTCATTTGATGGCGCATATAAACATCTGCAATATGCTCATTAAAAGTGAGGAAAATGATCCTTTTTTGAAGCGACTGATAACTGGTGATGAGAAGTGGACTGTTTACAACAATGTGGTGCACAAATGGTCTTAGTCCCAACGTGATGATTCGCTTCAAATGACATTGAAAGCAGACAGACATTCATCAGAGAAAGGTTATGCTCTCAGTGTGGTGGGATTTTAAAGGTGTCATGTTTTTTGAGCTCCTACCAAGGAACAAATCAATTCAAATGTGTACTGTCGGCAGTTGCACAGTTTGAACGAATCCATCATCCAGAAACATCCAGAGCTTGTTAATTGTAAAGGAGTTGTGTTCCATCACAAATTTGATCACCTGTCAAAAATGATTGGAGTGTGGATGGGATGTGTTGCCACACCCACCATACTTGCCTGACCTTGTGCCATCAGACTTCCACTTGTTTCGCTCTCTTCAAAACTCCTTGCGTGGTATAATGTTCAATTCAGATGAGGCTGTAAAACAGCAACTTGTTCAGTTTTTCACAAATAAAGACAGGTCCTTCTCTGAACGAGGAATTATGAAGCTCACTGAAAGATGGCAAAAGGTTATCGAACAAAATGGGCAATATATCATTGATTGATCTTTGTTCTTTATACAAATAAATAATCTTTGAAAACCATAGACAAACTACATCATGACTTTTCCGACAACCCAATATATGATGCCATCTCTTAAGTTGCTCACAAACTAGTAAGGAAAGAGTAACAATAATATAAAAGGTAGAATATGTGAATGTATTTCCAAGGATATGGAGGGGATCATCAAAAGATAAACTTGGGAAGACAGGTTGGGAGATCATGGAGGGTCAAGAAGTTGGATTTTTTTTTTCTACTTAGATAACAGGACACCACTGAAGACTTCTGAGTTCCATGAGCAGATTAGCACCTTTCCTTTCCCATCCAGGGTGGATTCCTCCTCCTGTGTCCAGCTGAAATCTCACCCCATCTACCATGTATTGCCCACCTTCTGCTACCACTCACTTCTCATCTTTAAGTCCTTCTGTAGTTATCATCTAGTGCTAACCCATTTTAGCACTTGATGATACACCGTCTTTTTCAGATGGTTTATTGTAGGAACATCTTACTTTTTTTTTTTTTAAAGATTTTTATTGGGGAATTGGGGGGATGGGAACAGTGCTGGGGAATGGGGGAAAGGGGAACAGACAAGTTGCTGTCGTTTTTTTGTTCTTCAATCTAGTTGTGGAGGATGTTGCTTCACTGGCCCAAGTTGGCACCATCATTGCGCTCTTCTCTGGCGAGGCAGATCAGTCGCCGGCTTCTGGACGGCCGCTCACTGCGGCTGCTGGCCGCTCACGCTGGCTGCTGGCCGCTCACGCTGGCTGCTGGCCACACACGGTAGCCCATGGTAACCCACTGCCACAGGGGCTGCAGCCTACGCCGTCGCCGGCGACTCATGGCAGCCCAGCTCCAGGTTGAGCTGTTGTTCAGCATCTTAGCTGCAGAGGGCAGTGTCACTGGCCCTCATATGTGGGATCCGAACCGGGGCCCTCTGGCATCCCAAGCGAGTTCTTAACCATCGCGCCACTCGGCCGGCCCAGGAACATCTTACTTTTTAAAAATGGTCTATAAAGCCCTTCTAGCAGGACCCATGACTTAAATCCAGTCTTGGGCTTAGGGATAGGAACATAAGTCCTTAAGCAATGTCCGTTTCTTCAAGTGTCACTTCTTCAGGGAATTCTTCTCTGACCTCCAATTAGATCAGGTTCCTTTGTTCTAGGCTCTCATAGAATCATTTTCTAGCACATTTCTCCATTTTTAACTGTACACCCTATATGTGACTATTTGAATAGGATATGAGTCCCAGAGTCTGTAAATTCCCAGAGAGCAGGTTTTGTACCTCTGATTTTGTTCATGTACAACAAACATGTGCTGACAACTTGAATAGGTATGGCCTTAGGTGTTCACGGTGAAAGGGCTTAAGTGGAGTAGCCTCCAACACGGTCCAACTCTCTGCCAAAGGTTTCTGAAAGAGCAGTTAAGATTCACACAGCGAAACTATCTCACAAAGGGAGTTCCTCCTGATGAGCTCCCCTTCTGCTCA